CAGGTGGTCAACCTACACGTCGAAGTCAACCGCACGCCCCTCAGCATCAAAGGAAAGAACATTAGGGCTAGCCATGGCGGCAGCAGTAGTAGCAGCAGTAGCAGCAGTAGCAGCAGGAGCAGTGCGGGCAGGGCAGTGCGGCTCAGTAGGGCGGCGCGGCTCGGTAGGGCGGCGCGGCTCGGCTGGGCGGCGCGGCTCGGCTGGGCGGCGCGGCTCGGCTGGGCGGCGCGGCTCGGCTGGGCGGCGCGGGTGCTTACCAGGGGCGGGTGCAGTGCAGGGCCGCCGCTGGCGGTTAGGGCAGGGCCGCGACTGGGGCGGCGGTAGGGCAGGGCCGCGACGAGGCGGCGGCAGAGCAGGGCCGCGACAGGGCGGCAGTAGGGCAGGGCCGCGACTGGGCGGCGGTAGAGCAGGGCCGCGACGAGCGGCTGAGGGCAGGGCCGCGACGGGTGGCGGCGGGGCAGAGGCCGCGACGGGTGGCGGCAGGGCAGAGGCCGCGACGAGCGGCGAGGTCAGGGCCGCGACGAGGGGCGGCAGGGTAGGGCCGCGACGGGCGGCTAGGTCAGGCCGCGACGAGGCGGCAAGGCAGGGCTGCGGGTGGCGGCAGGGCAGGGCCGCTACGAGGCGGCTAGGTCAGGGCCGCGACTAGGCGGCGACAGGGTAGGGCCGCGACGGGCGGCTAGGTCAGGGCCGCGGCGGGCCGTAAGGGCAGGGCCGCGACGGGCCGAGAAGGCAGGGCCGCGACGGGCGGCACTAGGGCAGGGCGCGTGACGGCGCAGGTGAGGCAGGCGCGAGGCGCGCTTCGGGCAGGGTGGAAAAAAAATAATAATCGTGGTGGGCCCTAAAAAAAACGTTCCCACTAGGGAACCTGCTCTGAAACCATGTCAGAAATGTGAAGGAAGGAATGATTGAATTAGCAAGCAGGTGGGTACAAGTAGGAAAACCTAAAAGTGTTGTACCCCATATTGACTACCCCACTACAGCCTACACAGACTATGTCATATAAGTTTGACACAAATCGGAAGCTGCGCCTCCCGATATCGGAAGGAGGGGCCGTCAGGGTTCCTCCTTCCACCATCTTGGGCGAGGGCATGATTCAAAAGTTTCGAACGCATGTGATGGGTACCAGGGTAACAATCCAATGGAAAAAAAATAGAACACATGGCTGGTTTAGTGGTGGGAGGGAGAGGACATTTTCAGGGCAGTGATGGAAGTTTAGAGCATGGGTAGGGTGGGAAACATTTACGGGAGTAGATTCGCGTGTCCCCTCCCAGGGCAAGCCCTAGCCCATCTCTCCGCCAACCTCCAGTTTGGGGAGGCGAGGGTTGGGCTGGAGGTGGGCTCATCGCCTACCAGTGTGCGAAGGGAGTGGGATCTTTCGTGGGAGACTAACCCTTCTCGTAAATGGCGCGTTCGACAGGCAACGAAGTGTTAGTCTGGTTCGGGAGGGTTTGCCAGGTTCGGCATCCATTTGGGGGCTGACCAGGAAAAAAACTAAAAAACGAAACAGCCCAGATAGTTCCGCGGAAGGGCTTGGCTGCCTGTCGAGCAGGGCCGCTTTTTCAGGGCGTGGCGAGAGGAATGGGAGGGATTTCCAGGGGGTGGGGACACCCATCTTCGGGGAAGCGAAATTGAGCAGGTATTTCGTCACTTACCGTCGGCACCTTCCACCCCTGCTCCCGAAGTTTCCCGCTCTCGGTTGTAGCGGGGGGGGGGGGTGATATCGACGGGGAAACTGCTTAGGAACCCTCGTCATTTACCTTCGCCCCCCCTCCTCCCCCCCACGGCATGTGCCTACAGAACAGAGCCATTGGTGGTGTTCGCCAGCACCTTTGAAGTAAAAAACGACGGGACAACGACGGGATCAGGAAGGTCAGTCTCGCCTTCCTGATCCCGTCAGTTAGGGTTCGTTAAGCTCCGTCTGCCTGATCAGCCCGTAAAAATGCTGCCGAGCCTCTCCTATCGTCCAAACCAAAAACCAAAGTGGGGGCCTGGCGAACGCCCCCGTTTCTCGACCAATTCGAACTGCTCGACGGCATATGGAAGCGGGGACGCAACTTCGTCCCCAGGCAAAATTCCCTCCCCAAGCTATGCCATCGCCATCCCCCCTTTTTCGAAGGACAGCGATGGCACAGCCGGTGCATTGCCGTTCAGGGGGGAACCTCTGAACGAGCCATTTGTTTGACAAATGGGGGTTCGTATACCCCCCATTTTTCCCCTCCCAAACACACCTTCGATGTGGCGGGGGTTGTATTTGAGCAGGTTCATTTTTTGTTTGCGTTTTTTACCCAAGGCGAGCACTTTTTGGCCTGCGGGCAGGCAGGTGGCCAGTGACGCTAAACTTTCGCGCCATTGGGAGGAAAGTGGGGATGGAGGTTCCCGATGCGGTTGCGTGATTTCCCGTTTCGGGATCAGAAGTTTCTCGAGTGGCATTACGCCCAGACCTCGGAGGTGGGTTCCGCGGCCGTTTCCTGATGCGGTCGCGATGCCGATGCCATCATTTTCATTTCAAATTTCTGTGTGCTGGCGAACACCGCCATTGGTGGTGTTCGCCAGCACCTTCGAAAGCAAAATCGACGGGATCAGGAAGGTCAGTCACGCCTTCCTGATCCCGTCAGTTAGGGTTCGTTAAGCTCCGTCAGCTTGGTCAGCCCGTAAAAATGCTGCCGAGCCTCTCATGTCGTCCGAACCAAAAACCAAATTGAGGGCCTGGCGAACGCCCCCAAAGTAATCCCATTTCGAACTGCACGACGGCATATGGAAGCGGGGACGCAACTTCGTCCCCGGGCAAAAATCCCTCCCCACGCTATGCCATCGCCATCCCCCCTTTCACGGAGGACAGCGATGGCATACAGATGGCATCCCCCCTTTCGCGCCAGTGGACGGAAGGTGGGGATGGAGGTTCCCGATGCGGTTGCGTCATTTCCCTTTTCAGAATGGGAAATTTCTCGAGTGGCATTACGCCCAAACCTCTTCGGTGGGTTCCGCCCCCGTTTCCTGATGCGGTCGCCATTTTCATGCCGTTGTTTTTCTTTCAAATTTTCGTGTGCTGGCGAACACCGCCATTATGTTGAAGTGACTCCGACACCTGGGAGTTTAGTTCAGACACCCCAGGACAGAAAAATCCAGGAAGGACCAGTTTCGGCACTTGCAAGCGGATCACCTCGGTGCTGTTCGCCAGCAAATCGAAAATTTGAATGAAAAAGATGGCATCGGCATCCGGAAACGGAGGCGGAACCCACCTCCTAGGTTTGGGCGTAATGCCACTCGAGAAACTTCTGCGCCCGGAAAGCGAAATTACGCAACCGCGTCTGGAACCTCCATCCCCACCTTCCCCCCAAGGGCTTTGAACGGCAATGCAACGGCTGTGCCATCGCTGTCCTTTGAAAAACGGGGCATGGCGATGGCATGGCTTGGGGATGGAATTTTGCCTGGGGACGAAGTTGCGTCCCCGCTTCCATATGCCGTCGAGCAGCTCAAGTTGGTGGACAAATGGGGGCGTTCGCCAGACGCCCACTTTGGTTGTTGGTTTGGACGGTAGAGGAGGCTCGGCACCTTTTTTACGGGCTGACCAGGCTGACGGAGGTAAACGAACCCTAACTGACGGGATCAAGAAGACGAGACCCACCTTCCTAATCCCGTCGTTATCCCGTGGTTTTTGGCTTCACAGGTGCTGGCGAACAGCCCCCTCGTCGTTGACGAGCTTGCCTGGGGGGACGTCCGACGTCGCTCCCCCCACCGATGGTTCGGCAGACTTCGCTTCCTCGCCAGCTGAAACCAGTCGCCACTTGTCACACGAGCAAGTTCCCCGCTTCGCCTGAACACCCGCCAACCCCAGTCTCTGCTCGTCACGTCACCCTTCGCAAAGTATCGGAGTCTCGGCGAATTGAAATGCGAAAAGGAAACCAGATGCGCAAACACCTGAACTGCCAAATATTTCGTGCTGCGAGAAATTCGAGTCGTAAACCACCTGAGCGCATCAGAGAGACGCACGAAACCACTCGCATGGAAACAAGGCTTCGTCTGTAACTGTCGAATCTCGCGTTCCCGCAGGCAATCCGCACATCGGAGGCTTGGCTGCTCGAATCCGCACACAAAACTCTACACTCCCTGCTCGCTTATTCCCTCCGTACCCACCTACACCACTCCCAAAATCTCGCATTGCATGTGCGCCATTGCAATGCGACAAGCTCCGACGATTCATCACAACTCTAGCTCGCTCTGAATAGCACCGAGGCAGATTTTCATGCTTGATTCATACCGAGTCGCGATTCATACTGGCGGTTGAAGGGCCGCATGATGGCCGTACGAGCGACGCCCGATGCGGGGTGCCGCCCGTTGCGTGACGGCGTCATGATGCTCCGCGGGACTGACGGTGGGAGGAGCGGTGCGCGTTGAAAGTGGGTCGTTAGAGATAGATTCCGCGCGTCGCGGCAAATCAATGATGTGTGCCCCTTCGATGTGGCTCGTAACGAGCCCGCGATCGCTGCGGAAAGAGGAGCGTCGTCTGTTGCCATCGCGACGATCCTTTTGTGAAAATCGTTTCACAGCAGCGGCAGCGGCGGCCGTAGCATGAGAGCGTCAGAGCCGCTCGCGATGAGCTGCGCCGCACGCTCAGCCAACAGCGACTGTCGCCGACGTTACTATTATCAGTCGCGTCGCGGCAGCGCAGCGCAGCGCATCGCTGATGATGATGGCGACGGCAGCGACTCTCGACCTCGCGACTGATCGGCGCCTCGCTCACCGCTGCGGGCTACCCTCCACCCTATCCGCCGCCACTCGCCGCTTCGTCGTCCCCCATCCGCTCTTCGCCCATCAATTTTCCACGTCTGCGGCTTCCGCGCTTCCCGTGTTATTTCCGTCGCCAAGACGACCCGCGGCTGGGAGAGGCGCGGACGGGCTCAAGGGAACGTTAACGCCGCGAAAGGTAGCGGCGCAGCGGGCGGGAAGGTTGCGAATGAGCGCGCAGGAAGCCATTACGCGGGCGGCCACGGCGCGGGAAGCTACGGCAAGAGCGCAGCAGCAGTGGCGCTCACGGGCGATGCAGCTGCAGATGGGCGCGCGGACAGGGTGGACCAGGCGGGGGAGAGACAGGGCGGGGGAGAGACAGGGCGGGGGAGGGAGAGGGCGGGGGAGGGACAGGGTGGGGGAGAGACAGGGCGGGGGAGGGACAGGGCGGGGGAGAGACAGGGCGGGGGAGGGACAGGGCGGGGGAGGGACAGGGCGGGGGAGAGACAGGGCGGGGGAGGGACAGGGCGGGGGAGAGACAGGGCGGGGGAGGGACAGGGCGGGGGAGGGACAGGGCGGGGGAGGGACAGGGCGGGGGAGGGAGAGGGCGGGGGAGGGACAGGGCGGGGGAGAGACAGGGCGGGGGAGGGAGAGGGCGGGGGAGAGACAGGGCGGGGGAGGGACAGGGCGGGGGAGAGACAGGGCGGGATGCGCTCACGCGACTGCACGGAGCAGGTGAGCGCAACAGGTGCGAGTGGCGCGTGTGAGTGGCAGGTGCGAGCAGCGCGTGTGAGTGGCAGATGCGGGACAAGGCTGCAGGGAAGAGGGGAGGCATGCGGGTGGACTCGTCTCCTCCACGCGCCACGCGCGTCCACCCGTACGCGCGTCCACCCGTACGCGCGTCCACCCGTACGCGCGTCCACCCGTACGCGCGTCCACCCGTACGCGCGTCCACCCGTACGCGCGTCCACCTGTACACCGCCGCCACTCTTGCACGTGACTTTGCGGGGCTTCACTCATGGTACGGTAGGTTGCAGTGGGGTATGATGGGTTAGGATGGATGGAGGAGCCCTGCGATCGCTGAGCGCACACAGCATGTCCGCTCGCACCCCGTCTGCTCACTCGTACCCCCGTCTGCTCACTCACACCCCGTCTGCTCACTCACACCCCCGTCTGCTCACTCACACCCCATCTGCTCACTCACATCCCGTCTGCTCACTCACACCCAGTCTGCTCACTCACATCCCGTCTACTCACTCACACCCCGTCTGCCCACTCACATCCCGTCTGCCCACTCATACCCCGTCTGCTCACTCACACCACATCTGCTCACTCACACCCCGTCTGCTCACTCACACCCCGTCTGCCCACTCTGCGGCATGAGGTGACACTGTGCGAATCAATCCTGTCTCATCCCCACCTACTCTCTCCTCCCCTCACCCTCCCCACTGCACGCCCTCCCCCCCCTTTCCCTCTCCCGCCCGACCCCACAGGGCACTGACACACTCTCGTGGACTTAGTCTGTGGCAACAGGACAGCTGTGCTGGACCACTGTGTGCTGACGGGGCAGCTATGCTGGACCGCTGTGTGCTGACGGGGCAGCTATGCTGGACCGCTGTGTGCTGACGGGGCAGCTGTGCTGGACCGCTGTGTGCTCACGGGGCAGCTGTGCTGGACCACTGTGTGCTGCACTTGCGCCCCCACGCCAACGCGCCGCTCACGGCGTCGGCAACCGGGGTTACTTTCACGAATTCATTGTAGCCCAACAACATGATATGCTGGCTTCCCTGAACTTTGTGCTATCTGTACATCATGTAATTTGTGCTACAAACGTGGAAATCATCATTCTAAAGTGAAAAAGCAATGCTAATTTAGGGATATGTTGCATGTTTTGGTAAGTGGCCATACACACACGTTACCTACGCCACTATGGTAAGAATGGTTGGGTTTACTTTCACTGGGCCACTATGGTAAGAATGTTGACTTCAGCTCTTTCTCAACCGCCCTGGTCGTGGCTTACACCCCTAACAGTGATTGTGCCTTCACCGCGAGTGAGGCACTTTTCTCAGAACAGAGGTACTGGGAGTTATCTCTGTGGGGGCTTAACGCATGTTACAGGCACCATCCGAACAAGCCCACGATTGTCGAGAAAAATTTGGATTCGGTTTCGGCGACATTCGCCGGTGGTATATCCGTTGGCAGGGATGAGTTTCACGTCCCAGCGGCACTGCGGCCCCGAGGCAAGAATGTAATCGCGAGCCTTGGTTCCCTCCATCCCCACCACCTCGGGCCAACGGAGCTTGCTGCGAACATTCACGAAAACGGCGAAGAGAAAGAGGATAAGGAATGCGACTTGAGGACCCATGGAGAGAAGTCGGGAGGTGATAGAAGAGGAGAGGGACCGGCTGTGGCGTTGGGGGAGGAGGGAACAATCGAATGGTTTTCTTGTGGACGAATGGGAAAGCGAGCGGATGGTTGGGGAAGAGAGGAAAGGGGTTGGGTGGAAAGAAGGGAGCGGGAGGGTGCTTTTTTGAGAGAAGCGAAACAGCAAGTCGTAACATCGAGAACACACCTGCAAGCAGACGGCGTCGGAATCAGTCGTGCGGCGTTTATCGTGGGTGGAAGAACACTGATGACTAGCAGCAGCAGAACCGAGAGGAGAAAGCCATGTCGATTTGTTGTCATGGCTGGTGATTCACGCTGCTACTAAAAAGTCGTTGACTCAACGACCTGACGGGTAGACTTGTCGCTCAGACTAGAGGCGAAATGAAAGAATTTATCTACTAGACGTTCTGAAACGACCTCGTCTCAATGCGAACCTGTATGATAGGCCGCAAGATAAGGGCCAATGACAGAGTGTCAACGGCCCTGGATGTGAGACTCCTGAAGCAACAGCGACAATATACAGTATAGACTCTCACTACCCACGATCGCCTAGTTGGAGCTGAAGATAAACGGTGGAGGTGCGATGTTCATCGCGCTCTATCATGCTGCCGTATTTTTCCTCAGCTACGAGAGTTCTTCTTTGTCGTTCGCGACGGGAAGTTGAGGGGTGTACTACGAAACGCCGCTCACTACGAACTCCGACGGTTTGAAATCTACGGGTGAATTTCTTTCTTTATCGACAAATCCTAACTTGTAGCCGCTCGTTATTATTCTGCACAGGAAAGGCGGCTGGTACCGCGCTCGGGCATAATGAGGCAAGGCCGTCTCCTGCACTGTGAACCGTGCATTCACCAAGGCAAATTTGCACCACTCCTTGCTCGTGATATAGCAGCCCAAGGCAGGCAAAATGACGCGGGCGACACGACGAGCGTTTGTGTTGTGACTCGTCGTGAGGCCCACTACGCGTGGAGGATGAATCAACGACTTGAGTCCCATTGGTTGGATTCTTGCTCTAGAAGGAGCGGGCTGCGGGAGCCATATCTGTACGTATCCACGATTCCACGTTCCGTGTGCTTCCAGAACCCCAAACGACGGGACCTGTGATAGGTTCTGGGAATCCACGGAATGGGGGAGAAGAGGGGGAGCTAGCACAGGCTGATGTTGATTCGTTTGGGGCAATACAGACGAATCCGGACCGGAGTACTCTGTACTGTACTGTACAATGGAGCGCAGATAGATCCCCAGATTCATCGCCGAAGCCATGGTCATAAAGACTTGTGAACGTGTAGGGCTGAGGATGTAACATAATTCGCTACGATGTCGAGAATATCGCGAAAAACAGGGGTTGGTGCTGGAAAGCTTGCTCCCTTCAAGATTTTGCGGAACAGATGGGAGCAGTACAAGAATTTGGGCCAGGGTTTACGCAATCCATCTTTCGAGAAACTTGTGGCACCGTTCTCGAGGATTTCGGCGGGACGAAAGCGAATCAATGGGCGATGAAATTATGCGCTCGCGACAGCTGTGCAGTTTCATGTGTAACTCCAGGGGCGATTTTTGTTTTTTTCGCTTCCTTCATCATCGGTGTCCGTTGCGATTGTCGTGGTGCCTATCGGTTAGACAGGCCACCATACAATACCTCCCCAGCCGTTTCCCGTCCTGTCTCCCTGCACAAGCCACCCGCACCCCACCAGTTCTCACCTCTCGCGCCGCGGCGCTCCTGCCTCCAGAGTGCGCTTCGCTCCACACGATATTATGCTCTCCAATTGACCATCGCACCCAGAGCAGTCATGCTCTCTCCTCGAGTTACTCGCGTGTCGCCCTGTGGCTAGTAACACTCCAATTGGTTTAGTGTATACGTGTAACCGTATCCACGTGTAATACCCAAGGCGTTACACCACGAGAGGCAGAAACAATCTCTCCCAATGGAGGTTCGTCACAAGCCGCGTCCCATAACGGGCGACCTCGAACCAACCAACCAAAGCCACGTGTCAGATATCCGCATTCTCTTTTCCGACATAATCGACGGCATTCGTTCGCTAGTCACCGCTATCCATCCGCGAAAACGACCGTTACATTTCGCAGCCTTCGCAGCGTTACTGAGTGTGCTGATCGTGGCGGCGACGCTGGTCCCCACGGACCTCGAGATCGACGCTGAGACGTACTTCGGGCACCCCGACGGCGACGCGGCGCGGCGCGACGAGGGCTTCGGGCGCGGGCTGTTCAACGAGACGCAGACGGACGGCAAATTCGACGTGCAGGCCGCCGCCAGGTGCGCGCGCAGTGGGAGTGAGCGGAAACGGTGTGGCGGAGCGGGAGGGAGGGCAGGCGCAGAGTGATGTGAGATGCGGTGCAGTGGGACGGCAGGAAGTGGGGGTGAGGGAGTGAGCGGATGAGGGAGTGAGGGGTTAAGGGACTGAGGGGATGAGGGAGTGAGGGGTTGAGGGGATGAGGGTTTGCGGAAAGAGGAGATGATGCCATCTCTTGTGCACCCCCATGCCCCTACCCCATGCCCTGGCACCCATGCCCCTACCCCATGCCCCTACCCCATGCCCTACCCCATGCCCTGACACCCATGCCCCTACCCCATGCCCTGACATGACACCCATGCCCCTACCCCATGCCCCTACCCCATGCCCCTACCCCATGCCCTCACACCCATGCCCCTACCCCATGCCCTCACGCCCATGCGCCTACCCCATGCCCTCACGCCCATGCGCCTACCCCATGCCCTCACGCCCATGCGCCTACCCCATGCCCTCAGTCACCCCCATGCGCCTACCCCATGCCCTCACTCACCCCCATGCGCCTACCCCATGCCCTCACTCACCCCCATGCCCCTACCCCATGCCCTCACCCCCATGCGCCTACCCCATGCCCTCACTCACCCCCATGCCCCTACCCCATGCCCTCACCCCCATGCGCCTACCCCATGCCCTCACCCCCATGCGCCTACCCCATGCCCTCACCCCCATGCGCCTACCCCATGCCCTCACCCCCATGCGCCTACCCCATGCCCTCACCCCCATGCGCCTACCCCATGCCCTCACCCCCATGCGCCTACCCCATGCCCTCACCCCCATGCGCCTACCCCATGCCCTCACCCCCATGCGCCTACCCCATGCCCTCACCCCCATGCCCCTACCCCATGCCCTCACCCCCATGCGCCTACCCCATGCCCTCACCCCCATGCCCCTACCCCATGCCCTCACCCCCATGCGCCTACCCCATGCCCTCACCCCCATGCGCCTACCCCATGCCCTCACCCCCATGCGCCTACCCCATGCCCTCACCCCCATGCGCCTACCCCATGCCCTCACGCCCATGCGCCTACCCCATGCCCTCACGCCCATGCGCCTACCCCATGCCCTCACGCCCATGCGCCTACCCCATGCCCTCACGCCCATGCGCCTACCCCATGCCCTCACGCCCATGCGCCTACCCCATGCCCTCACGCCCATGCGCCTACCCCATGCCCTCACGCCCATGCGCCTACCCCATGCCCTCACGCCCATGACCCCATGCCACCATGCTCCCATGCCCCCATGCCCCCCTGTCCCCATGCCCCCATGCCCCCATGCCCCCCTGTCCCCATGCCCCCATGCCCCCATGCCCCCCTGTCCCCATGCCCCCATGCCCCCATGCCCCCCCATGCCACCATGGCCCCATGCAACCATGACCCACCAGGCTGTGGGAGCGCCATGTGGGGTGTGCATCGTTCCGCGCGCGCCACCGCCACCTCATCAACCGCTTCAGAGACCCCCTCGCCTGGCCGCCCAACCCCTCCCTGCAGGCACGCCCCCCCCCCCCCCCCTCTTTCTGCACGCACGCCCTCCCCCCCCTCGCTGCAGGCATGCACCTTCTTCAACAACACACGTCTTATACCCATTCCCATCCCTCTCTTCGTTCACTTGCATTGGTCTTCATAAGTCAACCCTGGTCTTCAGAAGTCAACCCTGGCCTTCATGATTCAACCCTGGTCTTCATAAGTCAACCCTGGCATTCATAAGTCAACCCTGGCATTCATAAGTCAACCCTGGCATTCATAAGTCAACCCTGGCATTCATAAGTCAGCCTTGGTCATCCTCTCTTCACACGCCCAACAGGACCCCACCGAGCCATCCTGCAACCGAATGAGATTGCGCCACGTCACCGTCTTCGTTGTCCCCACCAATGCCTCATGGTTCGACGCGGGCAGCATTGAGGGATATTATTTCTGCCCGAGGTGCCGAATGACATGCCAGGTACAATAAATGACATGCCAGGTACACTAAATGACATGCCAGGTACACTAAATGACATGCCAGGTACACTAAATGACATGCCAGGTACAATAAATGACATGCCAGGTACAATAAATGACATGCCAGGTACAATATATGACATGCCAGGTACAATATATGACATGCCAGGTACAATATATGACATGCGAGGTACAATATATGACATGCCAGGTACAATATATGACATGCCAGGTACAATATATGACATGCCAGGTACACTAAAGGACATGCCAGGTACAATAAATGACATGCCAGGTACAATAAATGACACGCCAGCTACAGTAATTGACATGCCAGGTACAATATATGACATGCCAGGTACAATATATGACATGCCAGGTACAATATATGACATGCCAGGTACAATATATGACATGCCAGGTACACTAAAGGACATGCCAGGTACAATAAATGACATGCCAGGTACAATAAATGACACGCCAGCTACAGTAATTGACATGCCAGGTACAATATATGACATGCCAGGTACAATATATGACATGCCAGGTACAATATATGACATGCCAGGTACAATATATGACATGCCAGGTACAATATATGACATGCCAGGTACAATATATGACATGCCAGGTACACTAAAGGACATGCCAGGTACAATAAATGACATGCCAGGTACAATAAATGACATGCCAGGTACAATAAATGACATGCCAGCTACAGTAATTGACATGCCAGGTACACCGAATGACATTCGCAGTAAGCAGTCACCTTGTGGCACCTCTTCTCCCTTCCCCCCTTTCCTTGTGTCTCCCTCGAATGGTCCTTCATTGATATAGGCAGGGGAGATACAGCATGGCTGCTTTGAGGTGTGGCCCCTGTCCTCTCCCTCACCACCTGCTCCCGCACCCCACGCCTTTGTCCTGGCCAGATAACATTCAGTGAGCCCATGGCGTCGCATGCGGACGCCACTCTCCACGTCGCTCCAGGTGACTTTTGAGTCAACTGAAAAGTCTCCTCCATCTCCTCCTCTCCCCCCTGCCCAGATAACGTTCAGTGAGCCCATGGCATCGCATGCGGACGCCACTCTCCACGTCGCCCCCAACACCCCCCCCCCGGGCCGACAGGTGAGCACAGCAGAGAAGGGGGAGCAGCAGCCGGGGGAGAAGCGGAGTAGCGAAAGCAGAGGGGAGTGAAGCAGAGGGGGGAAGAGCGGGAGGGGGGAAGGGGGGTGGGTGGGCAGGGCCGTGGTAGCAGCGGGGCACCGTGATCGCCGTGCTTCCTCACATCACGTGTATTCTGCCTTCATCGTGGCGCTCTCCTCCATTCGCCTTGTGCTCTCCCGTGCCCTCCACATCTCTCTTTCCCTGCACCCACCCTACCCCACCACCCACCACCCTGCTGCACCCCAACCACGTCCTCCCAACCACGCCCCCCCCCTTCCTCCCCCCCCTGCCAGGTGGGCGACCCCCTACAGATCTACCTGGACATGGGGCGGGCGGCGGGGGCGGCGGGGGGCGGCAGGGCGGAGGAGGGGGACGTGGCGGTGTGGTGGGGGCGGGGGGCGGACGTGCAGCTCACCTTTGCTCGCTTCTCCGATGCCATGCCCACCGGCAGGCAGCACGGCCTGCAGCCCCTCAAGTTCCAGGTGCGTGTGGGGGAGAGGATGAGGGGGTACAACAGCGCCGCTTCTGCCTGCGCGCCGTGCAAAGGTGCCTCTCCAGTTCTACGCGCCTCTCTCTCGCTCTCTCTCCTTTGCTGCCGTGCGCAAGGTCGGGTGGTCAGTTGGTTGGTTGGTGGTGCCGGGCTGGCCTGTGAGTGCCTTCGGTGATAGCTAACTCTTCCTCTCCACCTTCACATGGTCAAGCTTTTTGTGACTTTGAGGACTTTATTCATTCCCACTCCCATTTCCATTCCCACACTCACTCCCATTCCCATTTCCACTCCCATTCCCACTCTCATTCCCATTTCCACTCCCATTCCCACTCCCATTCCCATTTCCACTCCCATTCCCGTTCCCACTCCCATTCCCACTCTCACTCCCATTCCCATTTCCACTCCCATTCCCGTTCCCACTCCCATTCCCGTTCCCACTCCCATTCCCGTTCCCACTCCCATTCTCATTCCCATTACCACTCCCTATTCCCAATTTTCCACTCCCACTCCCACTCCCACTCCCGTTTCCATTTCCATTCCCATTTTCATTCCCAATCCTCTTCACATTCCTCTTGAAATCACACCCCCACTCCCATGTTCGTGACTGTTCCTCGCATCGCATGGAGAACCTTCTTGTACCTTCCTTGAGCAAGCCACTCCCCCAGTGCGCACTAGCCCCCCCGCGAGCACGGCACGCTGCTGTCCTGCCTGCTCCTCCCTGTTGGGGCAGATCCCTCAGTGCAAGCATGGGCCCTCCCTCCCTCCCTTTCCTCTCCCACTCCCACCCCCCCCCCCTCCCTCCCCTCCCCCTGCGGCAGGACACGTTGGTGTACTGGCACGAGGACGACTGCCAGGACCCCACCCTGCTCGCTCCAGGCACACAGGTATGCACAATGGTGCAGAGCGGTGCCAGGCACACGGGTATGCACAATGGTGCAGAGCGGTGCCAGGCACACGGGTATGCACAATGGTGCAGAGCGGTGCCAGGCACACGGGTATGCACAATGGTGCAGAGCGGTGCCAGGCACACAGGTATGCACAATGGTGCAGAGCGGTGGCAGGCACACGGGTACACAGAGTGGTGCCAGGCGCACAGATATGCAGAGCGGTGAGGCACACAGGTATGCAGAACGGTGTGGGGCGGTGCCAGGTGCATAGGCATGCAGAGCGGTGGCATGTGCGTGGGCGTACGGAACGGAGCTGGTCAGTGACGTCAAATCGAGTGAGCTCCTATGGCACCCCTGCTACTGACCCCTTGAATCCTTGAGCTATGAGTGTCACAGGACTGCTGCAATGACAACCGCCCACAGTACATCTCCCTCATGCCGTGCTCTGCTTGCCCTTCCATGCCGTGCCCTGCTCGCCCCCACTATGCCGTGCCCTTCTCGCTCCCTCTGTGCCATCTCTGCACCTCACTATTTCTCTGAAACACAAAAGGCATGCTCTTGCCGCACTCAGAGTGCAGACGGCACCACCAGTCGTTGGTGAACCCGCTCGCCGTGTGTGTGTGCATCGCATGATCACACACCCATGACCCCTGTGTGTGTGTGCTGGCAGGTGGCAGCGCACATACCGACGCACAGCTTTGGGCAGTGCAGCAACAACTTCAACAACTCCAACGAGGACGTGCTCTTCAACGACACCTGCCCCTCCACGTCAGTGCACTGCCCCTCCACGTCAGTCACTGCCCCTCCACGTCAGTCACTGCCCCTCCACGTCAGTCACTGCCCCTCCACGTCAGTCACTGCCCCTCCACGTCAGTCACTGCCCCTCCACGTCAGTCACTGCCCCTCCACGTCAGTCACTGCACTCTTCTCACCTACCCCTCCACATTTTTCACTGGGATCTTGTGCTCTTCTTCCCGCCTGGACCACTCAGTGCTTATCACTGAACGGGAAACCTTGCATTTCTGGCCTGGTAATAGGGCCAAACCCCATCCGCTGCGACTTGAACCTTTGGGTGACGTCGGCCAGCCGTATTGTGCTGGTCAAGCCAACCAAAGGAGCTTGGACTCAAACTGAATCGAGCTCACCCAGATTAACTCTCTATCATTTCACATTGCTCATTCTCTTCTTTATATCCCCCTCCCTCCCCACTCCCCTGTCCCTCCCCGTGGCAGGGCAGCGCACGCACAGCACGCACAGAAGGCGCACTGCCTCTCCTCCAACTACAAGTTCGAACTCGTGGTCGATGACCCCCGCCTCCTGGGCTTCGTTTCCTGGAAGCTTCTCCGCACGCTTGAAGCAGGTGGGTATTAAGTCGCACATCACACTTGCCTTGGCATAAGTTGAAGTGACGCACTTATACATGACACACAAGCGTAAATAACGCACTAATACTTCATAAAAAAACAACGTAAATAACGGATCCATACTTCGTACCAAGTGTAAGTTGAAATAACGCACTTGCACTTAGTACCAAACATAGCGCGCTTATACCTATTATGACATTAAAAAGAAATTATTTTACTTATCATTAAATACAAATTTATGTAGCACACTTACACATAATACTAAACATCTGCTTATGTTAAGCCATTGAAACGTAGTACCAAACATACAGAATAAAAGACGTACTTACATTAGGTTCCAACACAAGTGCCTGCACCCATGCCTGCACCCATGTCTGCACCCATGCCATCACACATGCCTGCAACCATGCCATCACACATGCCATTGCACATGCAATCACACATGCCACATGCCTGCAACCATGCCATCACACATGCCATTGCACATGCAATCACACATGCCACATGCCTGTAACCATGCCGTCACACATGCCTATCACCCACATCACGTGTGAGTGCAAGTGCGAGTGGTGTCGTTGCGCCTCCTGACTGCACAGAAAGGGGTGAGCATGTCATAAAGCAATGGCTGCTCTCTTGCGCATCCATGTCATCCGCGCGCCACACTCAACGAAGTTCCTTCCACACTGTAATCCATCAAATCATCTCGACAAAACACAAGTGTTCCTCACGTAGGCACGGCTGTGCTGCACCCTGGGTCCATGATGGCACGCATGGCACCATCCACGATGGCACGCATGGCACTGGCACGCATGGCACCATCCTTAACAATGCCACACAGAATTATTTTCCCGCTCAATCCCCTCCTAATCCACGCATTTCCACCTTCCCCTTCCCCCCCCCGAACTCCCACCCCCCCCCCAAGGCACGGTGCCCATCTACTACGGCGCACCAGATGTGGACAACTTCATGCCGCCCGGCTCGTACATCGACGGGAGGAAGCTTCCCACCCCCGCCGAGCTGCTTGCGGCCCTGCAAGAGCTGCACCTTGACCCCTGTGAGTGCACCTCGACCCCTGTGAGTGCACCTCGACCCCTGTGAGTGCACCTCGACCCCTGTGAGTGCACCTCGACCCCTGTGAGTGCACCTCGACCCCTGTGAGTGCACCTCGACCCCTGTGAGTCCACCTCCACCCCTGTGAGTGCACCTCCACCCCTGTGAGTGCCATCAGCTGCACCTCCACCCCTGTGAGTGCCATCAGCTGCACACAGACCCTCTTCTCTCCTACTTATGCCGTGGCATTCCAGCAACACATGCGATTCTCCCAGCAGCACATGCAATCCAGGGGATGCAGGGTCGGGCAGAGCGGGGTGAGGTGGAGAGGAGAGAGATGGAAGTGGCTCCGAGGAGGGAGAGGGGGCGAGGGGAAGATGCAGCTCAGTTGGCTGCAATTAAAGGCAAGCAGGAGGCTGAATGGGATGGCAGCTCCCTCAAGGCCAGCCTGAAGCTGCAAGAGCAAGCAAGAAATCTTCAGAAGTAGGAAGGGAAGCTGCAGGGGTAGGAGGGGAAGCTGCAGGAGCAAGAAAGGAAGCTGTAGGAGTAGGAAGGGAAACTTCAGGAGCAGGAAGGGAAGCTTTAGGAGCAGGAAGGGAAGATGCAGGAGCAGGACGGGAAGTTGCAGGAGCTGGAAGGGAAGCTGCAGGAACATGAACAAAAGCTTCAGGAGCAGGAATGGAAGCTGCAGGAGCAGGAAGTGAAGCTTTTGGAGCATGAAGTTAAGCTTTAGGAGCAGGAAGTGAAGTTTCCTTGAAGTTTCACTTTCTACTCCATGAAGTGAAGCTTCAGGAATTGAAGTTTAAGGAGCTTCACTTCCTGATCTTGAAGCTTCACTTTCTACTCCAGAAGCTTCACTTTCTGCCCCTAAAGTCCCTTCCTGCTCATGCAGCTTCCATTTTTGCTCCTGAAGCCTCCCTTCCAGCTCCTGCAGCTTCCTTCATGCTCCTGACTGAAGCTTCCCTTCCTGCTCCTGCAGCTTCCTTTCTTGCTCTTGCAGCATTCCTTTCCGCTCCTGCAGCTTCCCTTCCTGCTCCTGCAACTTCCCTTCCTGCTCCTGCAGCTTCAGGCTGGCCTTGAGGGAGCTGTCATCCCATTCAGCCTCCTGCTTGCCTTAAATTGCAGCCAACTGAGCTGCCTCTTCCCTCCGTTCCCTCTCCCTCCTTGGAGCCTCTTCCATCTCCCTCCTCTCCTCCTCACCCCGCTCCTCCCGACCCTGCATCCCCTGAATTGCATGTGGCACACTTCATTCTTGGCACTCACCTGCGCCTCTACAATCACCACACTCTCCCCCCCCTCCACCTCCTCTCCCCATCTCCCCTCCAGTGAATTGAATGGAGCTCTTGCATGGCGCACGTGCTGCACGTTGTTCACGGCACTCACTGCCCTCCCCATCCCCATCCCCATCCCCCTCCCTCCCCCCATACAGTGAAGTACATGGACCTGTTCGCCTGGCGCACATGCGGCGTGTGGGGGCACTACGCCCATGTGGACGCGCTCGGCTTCCGCTCGCTGCCGTGCCGCCTCTGTGAGGCCGTCAGTGCCCGCCACGGCCGCCTCTTCCGTCACTAGCTGCCACGGCCGCCTCTTTCACCGCCACTAGCTGCCTCTGCTCCACACGCTCATGCACCATGACATGAGCACATGCGTGCAGCACGGAGGTTTGACTCGCATGAGCAGCTCCAAGTGTGCCACACTCACATGCGCACCCCACTTGCTCTCTCACAATCTCAGTACCTACAACTGCTGCCTCTTTGGCCAACACAAGGGTGATTTCTCCGCATTTACCGCGAAGGAGAGTGGCAGGCAGCATGGGGCGCATGCAGCTGTGCGGCTCAACCTCTGCACCCCTTCACTCAACCTCTGCACCCCTTCACTCAACCTCTGCACCCCTTCACTCGGACCTCAGCAGCACTCCTGCAGTACCACTGCGCTGCATGTTCCCTGCTCGCACTTCCAAGCAAACACAAGGCATGCTGGATTCGTGATTCGTGACAATACTTACAGGGAGTCAGCATCAGGGATAGGAATTGGTGGTGGGCCAACCTTAACGTGTAAAATGCCAGAAAGGGTAGAGAATTATACCCATGCAAGCTAAGTCAGGGTGGTTACTCCAATACGCGACCCATACTAGTACTGGTAATAAGTTGCTCGTTTGCCTGTTCCATTCCACTCGTAACAAAGGCTCGTTGAGCTTAGCCAGAGCATCTGCTTGAGCTTGTTCTGAACCAGCCGAGGCACCAACCAAAACAAACAAACACCTCATTCATACAACCCCAGCATAGGGCCTTGTGTGTGTGGTTCCATACTCAGGGTCCTACAACGTATGCAATACTGAAAGAGCATTCATTAGAACATCAACTACCGTATCGTTGTATTGTGCCACCCGTTGACAGCCCCCTCTATAGCGCGCTCAATCATGGCGTGCAGCTGCTGCCGGCCCTCCTCCCTCAGCTGCGCCCTGTAGTGCGCCTTGAGGAACATCTTCTCCACGTCCACGTGGGCGCACGGGAAGTACCAGAGGCGGATGCTGTAGCCACACTGGTACGCCACCAGCTGCTTGCCGCGCTGGTACCCCGCATCCACCCCCACCTCCCTGTGGCACCCGCACCGCCCCTTGTCCACCTCCTCCTCCCCCTCGCCCTCGCCCTCCCCCCCATCATCATCGTTTATCTCAGGCAGTTCAGCGATCCCCACTGCCCTCTCCCGCCCCTGCTGCTCCTGCTCCTTTCCCGCATGTCCCTCCTGCCCCTCTCCTTCTAGTTGCTCTCTAGCCAGCATGGCTTGCTGCTGCTCCTGTTCTGCCTGCATCTGCCACAGCCGGAAGTGTTTCTTTCTGAACTTGCCTGACCCGCACACGCGTGTGAGCAGCTCCATCTTGTTGTCCTGCCCGTACGCCATGCCTGCCACGTGCAACACACAAAGGAGGGGGGCTTAAACGAACGTGACTCAAGTGAGTGCTGTCCAAGCAGCTCCATCTTGTTGTCCTGCCCGTACGCCATGCCTGCCGGGTGGGGCCAGGGAGGAGAGCCACAGTGACACAGGAGGGGTGAGGAGGGGAAACACGGCAGTCACTCGATTAACTGTAGCACACCTTGTGTGAGCAGCTCCATCTTGTTGTCCTCTCATTTCCCGTATGCTGCTCCTGCTCATTTCCCGCATGTCATTCCCGCACACAGCAGGGGGACCCATACGAGTGTGACTTGAATGAGTGCTGTCCAAGCACAGCCATCTTGTTGCCATGGAGGGAGGTGAGCCAGAGAGACAGAGGTGGAGTGAGGACGAGGGGAAACACGGCAGTGACTCAAGTGCCTGTTACCCATCTTGTCGAGCAGCTGCACCTTGCAGTGCAAGCCATACGCCATGCTTGCCCGGTGGAAAGGCAGGAAAAGCAGCACAAGATGCGGCAACACGCCGCATGTGGCACACTCACCCGGCTGGTAGCGGTAGGGTGCATCGGCGCGGAAGGCGAGTTGGCTCTCGTGCAGGTGGGGGGCGAAGCGACGCAGATGGAGGAAGCGCGAGGAGGCGTTGAGCCACGTGGGCGACTGCTCCTGGTGCACCCTGTACATGGGCACCTGGTGGGGGCGTGGTGGGAGTGCGTGGGGTGCAGTGGAGTGCGTGGAGGCACAATGCAGGGGCCACGATAGAAGGTACATAGGCGCCTGGTGGGGTGAGCACAGACACACGCACACAGCATGGCGCCTCACTCACAGCATGGTCAAGGGTCAAGAGCATGGGGTAAGGGGCACGTCAATGCACACACGCACACACAGCATGTCAATGCACACACGCACACACAGCATGTCAATGCACACACAGAGCACGTCGATGAATGCACAGCCAAGGGGCAAGGCGTATGGCTGTTGGGCATGAGGTGTAACCCAGCAGAGCCTCTTCAAGAACAGAATGCTGGTAGATGAAGTCTCACGCACCCGCTGCCTGCTGCCCTCACCTGCTGCCTTTGTCTTATGAGACCCCTTCAAACCCCATGTATACTTGCAACGCACCTTGAACACCTTAAAGCCCTTGTGCTCGTGCCGGTCGGCCGCCTGCACTATCAGCCGCCAGGCCTCGGCGGTGAGGAACTGGTTGCCGTCGAAGGCCAGCACCCACTGCGCGCCCGCCCTGCGCGCGTGCTCCAACATCAAGTTGCGCGCCTCGTTCTGCGCTGGGGTAGGGGGAGGGGAGGGAGGGGCGTCTTTTGAGGCGCCTCACAAGTCGAGCGCTGGGGGGTGTGCCAAGGGGGGGATGCACCGGGGGGAAACGGGGGGATGGGGTGCGGGGGGGTTGATGAGGATGACGCATGGGTGAGGTGGGAGGGCAGAATGCATATGGGCCGTGGGTGCAGGGCCTTGCCATCGGTGCAGGGCCTTGCCGCATGGCATATTCGTATAGCATGGAGAACGGGCACATAGCGTAGAGGGGGATGGGCACATAGCGTATAGGGGGATGGGCAGGGCGGGGCGGGGGAGGTAGGGATTGGGGGGTTTGATTGTGTATGGGAGGCAAGGCAGGATGGCGGCAAAAGGGCGAAAGGATCCGCGTGAGCAGCATTGCTGTGTGTGTACAACATTCATAGACCAAAATGACACAAGTGCATCATGCATCTCCAGCTTTCAACGACACGTGCGGAGCTCCAACCTGCTATCATGCGCCATCTTTCAGAGAAGAACGCAGCAAGGTTTGAGCCGCATGCTTCACTACACGTCAGCGTATGGGATGGAGGGCAGGCAGGGAGTGGGAGGAAGGCGCGCACCGGTGACAGCAGGGAGTGGGAGGAAGGCGCGCACCGGTGACAGCAGGGAGTGGGAGGAAGGCGCGCACCGGTGACAGCGGTGGTCCAGAGGGAGGGGTCGAGCGTGGCGATGAGAGAGAGGTTGAGCGGGCGGATGAGAATGTCCTGCGAGGAGGGAGACGTGGGACCATGTGAGTGTGGTTTGCCGGGTCGAGTTTGGGTGCATGATGGCATGGTGAGGTGAGATGACACAGCATGGCACACTGTGTGATAAGGTACAGCACATGACACGCATGTGAAGCACACAGAATGACACACCTCGTCCTTCACCCCGTGTTGGCGCATGGCGGCCACCAGCGCAGCGAGCGCGGTGCTGTTCACCACGTGGTTCACCACCCACAGGCGCCGCGCCTGCTCCAGGAGGGGCGGCTCGTGCTGCAGCGCGTAGAGCGTGTTGCGGAGCAGCTGCTGGCCGCACTGCAGTGGCGGCATGTCGTTGCCGATCAGCCGGTACACGAAGAAGCGCGCCGGTGCAGGGGTGGGGGGAAGGAGGGATGGTGAAGGGGGGTTGGTGGGGAGGGGTGGTGATGGGGATGGGGAGGAGCGCGGGGTTGAGAGGGGGTTGGGGAGCGTGGGGGGGGGAAGGAGGGAGGAGGGCGGAAAAGGGGACGACGGGGCGGGGTGGGGAGGAGGGGAGAATGGGGGCGAGGAGAGAGGGGGTGGGGGATGGAGGGAGGGGGAGGGTGTTGGCGGGGAGGGAGGCACTGAGGGGGGAGGAAGCGGGGGGGTGGAGTGTGGGGGCGGTGAGAACGGTTGAGGGGTGGGCGGGTGTGAGTCAGACGATGCGGGGCGCACTGACTCTCCGCCCTCCGCGCCCTCTCCGCCCTTTCCGTACCCCCCGCCCTCTCCGCCCTCCGCGCCACCAGCGCTTTCACTACTCTTGCTCTCGCTGCCACCTCTGCTGCTTGTTCTACTGCCAGGATCCACCACCGCACCACCTGCTGCCGCACCTGCCATCCCTCCATTCACCTCCCCCTCCATTATTTCCCGCTCTTCTGCTGCCTCCCTCGCCTTCGCCTCTCCTACTCCCCCCCCCGTTTCCCGCTCCGCTTCCACGTCCCTTCTCTCCACCTCCTCCCCTCTGCTCAACCTTCCGCCGCCCGCGCCATCTCCCTGCTGTTCTTCTCCGCGCGCCGACCCCCATCCGCCCACCTCATTTCCGACGCCTACCCCGTCTTTCTCCCCTAGATTCCCGGGCGCTTCCCCAATGCTACGCGCGCGCGGGGCAGCGCAGGGGCTGAAGGCGGGCGCAAGGGGCGCCGGGAGCGAGAGGAGCGCGAGCGCGAGCGTGTAGAGCAGGCAGAGCGCGGCGGCGCGCTTGAGCGCGCGCGGAGGGGGGAGGCGGCGCCGGAGAGAGAAGTGGAGGGCGGCGAGGGCGAGCGCGAGAGAGGTGAGCGCGCCGACGGCGAGGAGAGGGGGGAGCAGCGCGCAGGACTGCGGGGGAGCGGCGGGCATTGCGCGCGTGCGAATTTGAAGGGAGTGAAATGTAGTGTGGGATGGCGAGAAGCCGTGTTATGGGTTTTTCCGCGATGCAAGCGTCATAGGTGTTTCAAAACTTGGCATGCAGGATGAGTAGAGGCTACAGTAATGTATGAATCCCAAACTTATTTTAAATATTGTTCGTGTTAGCACACATTTCTTGTTATCCCTTAGCACAAATAACATTAGCACACTCTGCACATAAACACAATGACACAATAAAGCTTTCTTCCTTTACAAACGACTGAGCTATATTACAAAACTCCCCCACCCTACCCTACCCACTCCGTCCATGCACAGAGCGCCAAGTCCTGGCCTTCTCAAACCCGTTCACCCCGCGGCGGTAGTCACTGAGAGCCTGCTCAATCTCTGCCTCTGTGTTCATCACAAAGGGGCCGTACTGCACCACCGCCTCGCCTATAGGCTGCCCCGCTATCAGCACAAAGCGGCACTCCTCCGCGCCGTCGTTCCACACGTGCACGCCATCCCCCGCCCCCAGCACCACCGTGTGATGCGCACCCGTGGCCTCCGCCCCCCGCTCCCCAATGCTGGCGGCACCAGAGAGCGTGTAGATGAAGGCGTTCCAAGCGGTGGGGAGCGGTTGCGCGAGGTGCGCGCCAGGGTCGAGGCGGAAGGAGAGGTAGGAGGTGGGCGTGCGGGTGACGACGGGGGAGGAGGCGCCGAGGGCGGTGCCAGCAATGACGGCCACGTGCACCCCGTTGAGGGACGCCTTGGGGATGTCCGCGTCCCTCAGCTCCTGGTAGGCTGATGGCACCCTGGCAGAGGGGGGTGGGGGGGGGGGGCAGGGAGATTCGGGGCAGGGAGGGGAGAAAGGGGTTGTGGACGGGGGACGACACAGCGAGGTGGTGCCGGCAATGACGGCAACGTGCACGCCGTTGAGAGATGCCTTGGGAATGTCGCTGTCCCTTAGCTCCTGGTAGGCTGACGGCACCCTGGCAGAGGGGGGGGGGGGGGGGGGGGGGTGGGGGGCAGGAGGGGGTTGTGAAGTGGGTGCGACACAGCGAGGTGCTCCCGGCAACGACGGCGCCGTGCACCGCGGTGAGAGCCGCCTTGGGGATGGCAGCGGCCCTCAGCTCCTGGTAGGCTGATGGCACCCTGAAGGCAGCGCGCGGGTAAGAGCGAGGGGAGCACAAGAGGGGGGGATATAGGGGGCCTGGCATGGTGAACGTGGTCATGGCGGGATGAGATGAGAGGCAGCAGATGAAGACAGAGGACGAGAAGACAGGCGGGAAAGAAGACAGGGAGAAGGGAAGACAGGAAAAGCGGACACCCCTACCCTCCCCTGCTCACATCTTGTCTCTGGCCGCCAGGTTGACCCAGAGCTGCAGCCCGTGGGTGGGGCCCTCGCCAGGCATCTCCGAGTGCACCACGCCCCTGCCAGCTGTCATCCACTGATTGGCCACAGCACGGGCAGAGAGCAGGGGGCAGGTCGGAGAAGGGTGAGGGGATGGGTGCAAGCAGGTGGGTGGAAGGCATGGAAGCAGCGGAGCAGAGCATGCTGGAGCCCCACACTCATGCGCTTGCAACTAGCATAGCACCCACCCCACGCCCCACCCACCACACGCCCCACCCACCCAACGCCCCTCCCAGCAGGCAGCAGGCAGCGCGTACCTGCACGTCCCCTGCATGCATATGGCCCTTGTGGCCGTTGAAGTCCTCGTGCACGAACGAGCCCTGCTCCCCCCACGCATGGGCACAAGGGGCGACGATGGAGCGGTGACAGCCAAAGGGAAGAGAAGGTGATTGTGAGCAAGGGCAATAGAGTTGTGAAATGCACCAATGAAGAAGATGCAACGAATGACCTTCCCTTGCATGCGTGTGGTCAAAACCCGGTGCTTCCATGCCAGATAGAAAATAGCGGATAGCAGGACACGCGGTTACAAGCCACTTTGATGACTGAAACGTAGCAATACGACAGTGGGCGACCCACCTGAATGAGGTAGGAGACCCACCTGAATGAGGTAGGAGACCCACCTGAATGAGGTAGGAGACCCACCTGAATGAGGTAGGAGACCCACCTGAATGAGGTAGGAGACCCACCTGAATGAGGTAGGAGACGGTTTGAAAGCCTCGGTGGGGATGGTCTGGAAAGCCTGCTGCCGCGTCCGCCGCTAGCAAGGGGCATGGGGACGGGCGGGCGAGAAGGGGCAGAAGGGCGAAGGGGGCAGCGGGCAGAGTGGAGGCGTCGGGGAGAGGCGGATGGGAGAAAGGGTGGGGGGAAGAATGGAAGGCATGGTTTGGGCACACGGAGCGGAACAGGCACGGCGGGCAGCAGCATGGGCAGCGGCAGCGAGGGGGGCCGGGGGGAAAAGGGGACGCGCGGTGGAGGGCAGGGGGGCGCGCGACAGAGGGCGGCGGGAGGGGGAGCACGGGCGTGGGGGAGCAAGGGCGGAGAGAACGCCGGCGCGGGGAGCAGGGGCGCGGGGAGCTCAGCAGGGGCGCGCGTACCTTTGAACTCGTCGAGCATGAGGAAGGGGTCGAGCTGCCGCAGCTCCGGCCTGCGCGCACACACCGCGGGGAAGGCAGTAGGCGAAGGGCGCGGGGACGCGGGCGGAAGGAAGGGAAAGGGAGGTGAAGAGACGGTGAAGCAAGGTTTTACGTGGTAGCTGCTTGACTTGAAGCTTCTTTGCAAACCAACGACGTCCTCCCTCTCACTGCCACTCCTATTCCCCTCTCCCCGCCCACTCTTCCCCTCTCTCCCTCCTCCTTCCCCGCCGCACCCGTCCCCACTCCCCTTGCCCGTTCCCCGCCAAGCCTCCCCATCTCCCGCCGCCCACGGCACCCACCTGCCGATGCTGCGCCTGACGCGCGCCCCCGCGCCTTCCGCCTGCTCCCGCGACAGCAGCGTGCGCACGGCCTTCCGCGGTTGCCGAATCTCCGCCGCCGCTGCTCCCGCGCCCGCTGCCGCACCTCCCGCTGCCGTTACTGGAGCTGCGGCGGCGACGGCGGCCATGGCGAACGGGTTGGCGGGGGGAGATAGCTCAGAACGTACAGAAGCGATGGACGCTGGTAGGGTGACTCGCGCTACGGGAGTGGCGTCAGGAGATGTAGTGCGGAACGGAAGGCGGAAGGAGCGGAAAGCCTTGCCCTTGAGAAGCGCGGAAATCATGGATATTCGCAAAGTCGATACTCGTTGATGACTGGACGCGCGTTTGTGTGGATTTCAATGAACACCGCATGGCGCGACGTGGTTATATACCCAGGCTTATGAGCCGACAGCCATGGCTAAGCAAGCGCGGACCCGCCGAAGCCTAGTTTCTTGGACACTTCGCGGAACGCACGCGGGTCAGAACGGAAGGCTCCAGATGAAACCGTCATAGGCAGACTCGATACAAAACAGCGGAGAGAACGTCGGAAAGGGGAACTATATGTGTTTTGCTATTGCAATTGACCTCATGTAGTATAGCATCATCGAGGTCGATTTCTGAAAATCAGATCAGACCACTGGTGTGGAAATTTCTAGCCTGCTGCGAAACCTTCGCAACCTGCGAAACTGTCGCAAGAATTTTGTTTTCGCAAGCAGTTCCACACCCTAAAATTTCGCGCTACCGCATTGCTTCTTCGCGACCCCAATCATCCATACGAAACTAGGTCGCATTGCCGCAACTGCCGCATCGCCAATATTATTTTCCGGATTCAGGGTCGTTGTGTTCCGTGCAGTCGTCGATACCGCTCTGCTCTCCCGCATCCATCTCCGTTTCCCCGCTTCGCTTCTTCCTCGCGACCATCTCCTCCCCTGCCTCGCCTGCTGTCCCCTCGCCCGCCGTCCGCGCGAATCTGACCCTCGTCGCCAGCACCTGCCGAGGCTGACCTCGCACGCCGGTTTGCACGCGATCCGTGCTCCGGTATATGGGCCTGCCCATGGGCTCCACCGGCCCTGCTACTGTCGGAGCACGCGGTGGTCGTCGGCCGAATGTGCTCATAACGGGTACACCTGGCACGGGAAAGACGTCGACGAGTCAGCTGGTGGCGGAGGCGACGGGTCTGCGACATGTGAACGTGGGCGACCTTGTGCGACAGAAGGAGCTGCACGACGGGTGGGACGACGAGTACGACTGCTTCGTGCTGGACGAAGATAAGGTAGCGACATGCACCCTGATGCGATGGACTGGGCCTGGATGAGCCGTACGATGAAGATGGGATTGTGATTAGAGTTGCAACGCTGTGAAAGCAGAGTCGCTCCAGGGGTTTCGGGGTTTGAGCAGTTGAAAGGAGTTGTGCTTCCACCCTTGCTCACACGTTCCCCTTCCCTGCCTTACCCTCTCCTCCCTGTCCCCTGTCCCCTCGCACCCCACCCCTTCCCCGTCAGCCTCTGCCTTCCCCACGTCCTCGGCCCCTACTGCACCACTTCCCCACACCCTCCCCATCCCTCCCTTTCTGCCCTGCTCTCCGCTCATCCCCACCCACTCCGCCCATCCCTACCCTCTCCGCCCATCCCTACTCTCTCCGCCCATCCCTACCCTCTCCGCCCATCCCTACCCTCTCCGCCCATCCCTACCCTCTCCGCCCATCCCTACCCTCTCCGTACCCTCTCCGCCCATCCCTACGCTCTCCGCCCATCCCTACCCTCTCCGCCCATCCCTACCCTCTCCTCCCATCCCTACCCTCTCCGCCCATCCCTACCCTCTCCGCCCATCCCTACCCTCTCCGCCCATCCCTACGCTCTCCGCCCATCCCTACCCTCTCCGCCCATCCCTACGCTCTCCGCCCATCCCTACCCTCTCCGCCCATCCCTACCCTCTCCGCCCATCCCCACCCTCTCCGCCGATCACTAACTCTCTCCACCCATCCATTCCATACCCGCTGTCTCTACCATCGCTCTCCTACGCCCCACCTCGGAACTGTTACTGCTCGCAACCATCCGCCTCCGACCATCACCTCCCCTCCCCCCCTCTCCCCTCCTCTCCCCCTGACTGTGTGCGCGGGGAACATGAGCGCAGGTGGTGGACGAGCTGGAGGAGAGCATGAGCGCGGGGGGCGTGGTGGTGGAGCACCACTCGTGCGACTTCTTCCCCGAGCGCTGGTTCCACCTTGTCGTCGTGCTGCAGACCGACAACTCCGTTCTCTACGACCGCCTAAGCGCCAGGTGATCACCTCCGTGCCTCTTCTCTCACTCTCTGTCTCCTCTCTCTCCAGCGGTCCTCTCTCTCCCTCCCTCTCTCTCGCTGTCTCTTTTCTTTCACTTCCTCTCTTTCTTCTTGACGACCTCCTTGTCAAATTGCTTGGTGCTTGAGAGTTCTCACCTTGTGCATTCCTGACTGCAGTTCAAGCAATCAAGTATGTGTCCTTCCCATTATGTCCCCCTTCCCATCATGCATCCCATGGCATGTGAGCAAACTCGTCAGGGGGTACACAGGAAAGAAGCTGGCGAGCAACATGGAGTGCGAGATCATGCAAGTGCTGCTGGAGGAGGCTAGGGACAGCTACAAAGAGTCCATAGTGCACCCCATGCAGAGTGATTCGCTAGAAGATATGGAGAGGAATGTTGCAACAATAAAACAGATGGTTGCACAGTTGGAAGAGGGCGGGTAGTAGAAATGTGTACGGGATGCCATGCTTTGCCTTGTTACATTGGTATTTCTGTGGTGTAGCCTTCAATAATGTAGAATTTTCGAAAGAGGGTGCACCTGTCAAAAGCATACTGTCATTCAAAGTCCATACGGTATCTCTCGGTTTTGAAACACCTTTCAAGCTTGCATCGCGGAATAACCACAACACAGCTTCTCTACCATCCCACTACTAGTTCACTCCCTACCAGTCCGCACACGCGCAATGCCCGTCGCTCCCCGGCAGTCCTGCGCGCTGCTCCCCCCTCTCCTCGCCGTCGGCGCGCTCACCTCTCTCGCGCTCGCCCTCGCCGCCCTCCACTTCTCCCTCCGCCGCCTCCTCCCCCCTCTGCGCGCGCTCAAGCGCGCCGCCGCGCTCTGCCTGCTCTACACACTCGCGCTCACGCTCCTCTCGCTCCCCGCACCCTTTGCGCCCGCCTTCAGCCCCTGCGCTTCCCCGCGCGCGGATAACAATGCCGCTTGATTCACATGAATCGCCTGATTTACCTGAAGGATCACCTGGGACGCCCAAGGAGGCACCTAAATCGCCTCAGAAGCTACCTCCGTTGCTTCAAAGGTCACCTGATGAGGAGGAGGAGCAGGCAGTAATGGAAGGGGGCGGGCACGGAGATGGGGGAGGAAACGAGGAGGGGAGAGAGGAGGGGAGAGGAGGGGAGCAGGGGGAGCAGGGGAAGAGGATGGAGATTGATGTGGTTGAGGCGGTGGTGCGAGGGGCGACGGGTAACATCGATGTGACTGTACAGAACGACTCCTGTAGCGCGGATGTGCCTGCACGTGGTGGTGCTACGAAGAGCACAGGTTTGGGTGTGGCTGGTGGTGGTGGTTGTTGTGGTGATGGGAGTGGGAGTGGGAGTGAGGGGGAGGGGAGGAAGGCAGGGAGTGGGTGGGAGAGTGCATTGGGGGGCAGGAGGCGGAGCATGCGTGCCAGTGCTGTGCTCGCCATGGCCAGGATTTCCGGTAAAGGGGCAGGCGCAGGCGGAGCAGGGGGGGGAGGAGGAGGAGGCAAGAACAGTAATCCCCATAATCACGCTCACTCGCACGCAAAGTCTCAGAATGCTATTTCGGGAACAGGAGCAGGAGGAGGAAGAGGAGGAGCAGGAGCGGTAACAGCAGCAGGAGCAGCAGGAGCAGGAGCAGGAGCAGGAGCGGGAGCAGGTGACATGGACGTGTGTGTGGGTGAGCTAGCAGTGGTGAATGAACCATTTGAGCTCCAATTCCACTCCCGCATCTGCTCTCCCGCTGCTGCTCCCGACTGCGCTGCCGCTGCTCCTGCCACCGCCGCCGCTACCGCCACTGCTGCTGCCGGTACTGCTGCCGGCGCCGCCGCCGGTGGCAGTGCTGCTGGTGGTGGTGGTGGTGGGAGAGGGAGCGGAGGAGCAGGGAGTCACTGTGCGAGTCACTCCAGAGCCGGATCGAAGCCTGGAGCGAGGTCAGGCGGAGGATCAGCAGGAGGGGCAGGTGAACCAGAGTATGGCAAGGGCACGTTCCCCTGGTCTGTGATGGATCAGTGGTATTGGGAGTGGGGGCTCTATGGCTGGGACGATAGCACCCAAGGGGGTGTTACAGCGGGTGCTGCTAGTGCTGGTTCTGGTGGTGGTGGTGCGTCTGGGGGGAGTATTCTGGGTGGGAAGAAAGGGATAGGGATTGGGACTGGGTGGAGACGGGGAGCAGCGGGAGGAAGCGGGGGTGGTTCGAGTGGGGGAGGAAGTAAAGGGGGGGCGAATGGGGAGGCGAAGAGTAAGGGAGCGGGGGATGTGGCGTGTAGGATGGGCGAGGGGATGGACATAGATGGGGTGGCTGGGGCGCAAGGGAGTGCGGTTACCGGGGTTACTGCGGTTACTGGGAGTACGGGAGTGACAGGGATAGATGTGGTTGCGAGGGAGGGAAGGGGCGGGAAAGGGAGTGATGGTGGTGATGTCTGTGATGGGGCTCCAGTTGTAGACGAGATAAAAGAGCAGCAGCAGAAAGAGCAGGGCGAGGAGAAGCAGAAGGAACAGCAGAAGATGGGGCAGCAGCAGCAGCAAAAGCAGCAGCAGTTGCAGCAGCAAGAGGCGGCGGCACTAGAGCCAAAGTACATCCTGCGGGGAGTTAGAGCCACGAAACAAACCGCCAAGGCAGCAGCCCCCCACCCAGGCATGGTGGGCTGCCACCCCCCTCCCCCTGCACGGCCCACACCCACTGCTGCTGCTGCTGCTGCTGCTGCACCCACCATTGCAGCAAGCGCCTCCGATGCAAGCACTGACTCAGTCACTGCCGCAACTGCTGCAGCAGCCACTGCCACAAGCACCTCCCTCCCCCCCGCCCCCGTGGCCCCGCCGCCCCCCTGCTCCGTGTGCAAGGCAGCAGAGGACGCCTCGTGTCTGCTGTGCGACGCCTGCGATGCCTGCTACCACCTGCGCTGCCTCAACCCCCCGGCTGAAGAGCCCCCCGCAGGGGACGAGTGGCTGTGCGAGGCGTGCGCGGAGGAGCAGTGGGAGCGCGGCAACGCTGTTGTGTTTGAGGATGAAGAGCTGTGGGCGAGAAGGCAGATGGTGGGCGTGGATGCGGGGGGGAGGGGCTTGGGAGGAGGAAGGGGGGGGGGAGGGTTTGCGTGGGAGTATGATTGGGAAGCGGATGCGGAGGGGAGGGCGGGAGGGGCGAGGAACGGGGGAATTGGGAGGGGAGGAGCGGAAGAGGGGAAGGTTGGTGGAGGAGAGAGTAGAGACAGAGGAGGAGAAAGAGGAGTGGGGGGAGGGGGAGGGGGGGAAGGGCAGGAGGGAGCGGCAGGGAGCAACGGGCAGCAGCAGCAGCAGAAGCAGGAGGAGCAGGAGCAGGAGCAGGAGGGGGAGGGGGTGGCGGTGAAGAGGCGGGGGGGCATCCGGCCATTGAAGTCAGGCCCGGAGGGGCGGGGGCAGTGGTTGCTGCGCGGCGAGTGGCTGGCAGCGCAGGGGCACATCCGCGTGGGCCCCATGTTCCAGGCCCTGGTGGGCGAGTGGCAAGGCGCTGCGGAGAAGGGAGTTGCGGAGAAGATGGAGAGGGATGGGCGCGGCGTGGATGATGAAGGGCTGTACGTGCTGCTGCTGCTGCCCACCCCGTGCTTATTATTCGCTTCCCTTCTTCCCATCCCCTCTTCCTCCCTACTTTCCTGTCCATTCAGTGTCTCCCTACCCTCGCGCTACCCACTCTCGCGTCCTCATCCTTTTGAATGCGCATCTGTGCGTTTCCCTCTGTGTTTATCCATTCAGTGTTCACCCCTTTGGGCGTCAAGGCTGCTCCCAAGCCCAAAGGGGTGAACCCTGAACCATCTCTGCTTCTCTTCCCCCCACCGCTTCTGCTTCTGTCCTTCCCACGCCCTTCTTCTTGTCCCTCCCCGCCCTGCTTCCTTCCGCTCCCCGCTTTGCGTCCCTCTCCTCCCCGTACTTCCCCTCCCCCCCCTGCGTGCCATCCCTTGGAGCAGCGAGCGGCCTGTGTTTGGGCAGGAGCGGGCGTGGAGCGAGGAGGAGAAGGAGGCGGAGCTAGAAGCGATGAAGCAGCGCCTGGCAGAGGTACGGAGACAGCTGGCACTGCAGCTGTGTGGTTGGTGCATGAATGAATGCATGACCGATGGGACTAGTGGGGCTCGTGTGGCTGGTGCCGCTGAGTGGTAGCAGCTGCAATGCAAGCATACAACAACCACATCCCCTCCTCCGTCCAACTCCCTCTCAACCATCCACCTCTTTCTCTTCACCCCATTACTTCTAACCTCCTTCGTCTCTCCTCCTCCTCCTCCTCCTCCTCCTCCTCCTCCTCCTCCTCCTCCTCCTCCTCCTCCTCCTCCTCCTCCTCCTCCTCCTCTCCCCTCCTCTTCTCCCCTTGTTCTCTGCCAGAGCAAGCGTCTGATTGGCTGCCAGCTGGCGCAACGTGCGCGTGGCAGCGGAGGAGCGGGGGGAGCAGGGGCATTGCAGTGCATTTCATTGCAAGGATACAACCGCATCCACTCCCCCTTTCCACTCTCTCCCAACCCTCCACCACTCTCTCCTCGTCCCCCTCCTTCTCCCCTCCTTCTCCCATCGTTCCCTGCTCCTTCTCTCCTCCTTCCCCCTTCCTTCCCCCCTCCTTTCCTCCTGCTGCTCCCTTCCTTCTCCCCCCGTTCTCTCCCGCTCCCCCCGGCCCGGCTGTTCCCCCTCACCCCTCAGAGCAAGTGGCCCATGGGCTGGCAGCCGGTGCGCAACCTGCCGGTGTCGGCAGAGGAGCGGTGGGAGCAGTGCGAGGGGATTCTGTACTATGAGGGCGATGTGCGCGCGGACGGCAAGATTGCCCGCAGGGACGTGGAGTGCGGCAAGTGGCGCAGGTGAGGGGTAGAGAGAGGGGGGCACGAGGTGGGAGGAAGAGTTGGTGGAGGGGCGATGGGAGGGCACGAGCCAGGGCGTTTGGGGAGGAGGTGGAAAGGGAGCGAGGGAGGGGGGAGAAGAAGCGGGTGGGATGGAGCAATGGGTCAAAATTGATAGTTGTTGTGACAGTGTGAGTGAAGTGACATACTGGCCCTGTGCTTCCATGTCAGCGCATTGAGCGGGCTCGAGTGAGAGTCCTAGTTTGAAAGTGCACTCTAGAAGCCCATCTCATTCGCTGTTGCCCACTGTTGTATGTGCGTGCACTCCCATCACCACCCACCACCACCCACCACCACCCATCACCACCCACCACCACCCATCACCACCCATCACCACCCATCACCACCCATCACCACCCATCACCACCCACCACCACCCATCACCACCCATCACCACCCATCACCACCCATCACCACCCATCACCACCCATCACCACCCATCACCACCCATCACCACCCATCACCACCCATCACCACCCATCACCACCCATCACCACCCACCACCACCCACCACCACCCATCACCACCCATCACCACCCATCACCACCCATCACCACCCATCACCACCCATCACCACCCATCACCACCCATCACCACCCATCACCACCCATCACCACCCATCACCACCCATCACCACCCATCACCACCCATCACCACCCATCACCACCCACCACCACCCATCACCACCCGTCACCACCCACCACCACCCATCACCACCCATCACCACCCATCACCACCCATCACCACCCATCACCACCCATCACCACCCACCCACCACGGCCCACTATGACGAGCATGGCATGGCAGGGTGCCGAGTGGGTTTGAGGTGGAGGACAAGTTTGAGTGCTCGTGCGCGCTCACCTTCGACCCGCATCATGCCGACTGTATGGTGCCGCAGGTGCGTGCGCATGTGACTGCATGCTTATGCGTTCGTGCGCGCGCGCGCGCGTGTGGGTGTGTCCGTGCGCGTGTGTGGGAGCATGTCTGCAATTTCCTCCTCTTCTCCTCCTCTTCTCCTCTCCGCTCCTCCTCTCCTCCTCTCTCGCTACCACGTATTGTGCAACAGGTGCATCTTCCACACCCCCCACTTTCCTCCTTTTCCCCTTTCTCCTCCCCACATCACAGCATCCTCCTAACATCCCCTCCTCCCCACGTCTCCTCCCCACTTCCCCTGTGAGTGGAGCAGGAGCTACCGAAGAGGGACGTGGAGAGGAGGCTCAAGATGATATCGGAGCTCAAATCGCAGGTGCCATGTCACTCTCTCAACCCTCTCTCGCTATACTAACTTTGATCTGAGATATCTCAAACGAGTCAATCATTAAGATGGTATCAGAGCTCAAATTGTAGATCCGGTGTCACTCTGTGGACCTTCCCACACTATGTTAACGTTCTTTTGATATTCGTTTGATCAAACCAATGATCAGGAGACTCTTTCTGTTATTTGTTATTAATCTCTTCCTTTCTTGCTTCCGTCGCTGCTTCCGTTCCCCTTCTTCTTGGATTGCCATCCTCTATCTTCCCACCCTTTCCCCCACCTTTCACCCCCCAATCCGATCGATTCCCGCAGAAGCAGCAGCAGGGCACGGAGATGGGCGAGTGGAAGGAGCGCACGGGGGAGTGGAGGGCGTTCAGGGCGCAAGCAGAGCAGGGGCACTGCCACCGCTTAGACACTCGAGATTCAGACACTCCCCTCTCTTTGCCACCACTCACACTCCCCTCTTTTCCTCCTCTCCCTTGGCCCATCTCTCCCTCGGCCCATCTCTCCCTCTGCTTCTCTCCGTCACCTCTCGTGCCCCTTCCCCGTGGCCCTTCCCTTTCTCTCTCGCCCCATGCAGAAGCAGCAGCAGGGGGCGGAGATGGGCGAGTGGAAGGAGCGCATGGGGGAGCTGAGGGCGTTCAGGGCGCACCACGGCCACTGCCACGTGGCCCCCAGGAGCCCCCTGGGCGTGTGGCTGCAGAAGCAGCGCATGCTGCTGCGCCGCAACCGACTGTCACCCGTGCAGCGGGTGCGTGGGCGGGTGGCGGGTGGGCAGGTGGGCGGGTGGATTGGTGGGTGTTCCTCTTTTCATCCTCCAGTCCAACTCTCCTCGCCCTTACATCCCCTACTCGTGCGATTCCCTCCTTTCCACTCCTTCCCCTCCCCCTTCCCTCTCCCCTCCATCTCCTCCTCCTCCTTCTCACCTTCTCCTCCACGTATTCATCCTATTCTCCTCTCCAACCCCCCAACCCCTCCCTCCCCCCTGCAACCGCCCCCACACCCTTAAACCCCCCCCCCTTTCTCCCCATATGGCGATGACAGGAGGAGTTGCAGCAGCTGAGCGTGACGATCAACCTGGAGGATGCGCGGTGGGAGGAGAGCTTTGCTGCCCTCGTGGACTTCAAGCGCGACTACGGCCACCTCAACGTCTCCAACGCGCCACACGCGCACGCCAACACTGCCCCGCCTCCCAGCGCCGCTTCTGCTGCTGCTGCTGCTTCTGCTGCTGCCTCTGCTGGTGATGGTGCCAGTGCTGGAGCAGGGGCAGGGGGAGGGGGAGGAGGAGGGGGGGCAGCAGGAGGAGCTGCTGCTGCTGCTGCTGGTATCAGTGGCGGTGGCGTTAGCAGCAGCGGTAGCCAGCAGCAGGGAGGGGGGAGGCTGAGGCGAGCGCAGGACTTGGCGCGGCTGAACCAGTGGGTGAAGGCCCAGAAGGCCATGGCACAGCAGCCGTTCAAGGGGAAGAAGGCACTGCAGCGAATCTGCAGGCTGCTCGAGATTGGATTTGTTTTTTCGGAGGGCGATTCCTCCTCTTAAAGGGCGACCATGGCTGTGTGCCGCTGAGTGCTGGTAGCACTGGTGCCAGTAATAGCATGGGTCGAATGATTCGCCTTGTATTCAAAACAGAACTGAAGTCTGTTGGATGGAACTGATGGTAGATTATGGTTGTGCAAATCTGCACATGTTGTGGCTGGAAATGGTTGTTTTTATTTGTTGTGAGATGCTTGTTTCTCATCATGTGCTTGACATGTGCCTTCAACATCTGCAAGTCATCGCACACTTATTAACGATGTATATCAGGATAGGAACAGCAGAATGATGTGCACTAGGAACAATGGGATACAAATATGAACCCCAAAAGGGTTGTACTCCCGATAGTGCTACTCGCTGTAGCCTAAGAGCTAATGTAACACTTGACACACCCCCATAGGCTAAGTGAGGGGCATTATGTCAAACATATATATGTTATATGTTGTAGTTATTGGTAGGCTGTAGTGGGGTAGATTCTGTGGGGTATAACCCCTTAAGTTTTTCCTACTTGTAAAACTCTCTCGATAGTTGAATCCACCCTTGCCTAAGTGTTGACATGGTATCAGAGCACTAAGGTCTCTAGGACCTAAGAATAGGGCCGACAACTGACGTCACTGGAGCTGGGAGTGGTGCTGGTCCCGGAGGTGCTCGTACTGGAGGTACTGGAGCTGCTGGGGCTGGAGGTGCTGAGCCTGAGGGTGCTGCTGCTGGAGGCACTGAGACTGGAGACCCTGGGACTGGAGGTGCCGGTTCTGGGGGTGCTGCTGTTGGTGGAGCTGGTCCTGGAGGTGCTGGAGCTGGTGGCGCTGGAGCTGGAGTTTCTGGAGCTGCTGAGGGTACTGACGCTGGAGGTTCTGGAGCTGCTGGAGGTACTGGCACTAGTGGCGCTGGAGCTGGAGGTTCTGGAGCTGCTGAGGTTGCTGGCGCTGGAGGTGCTGGAGCTGCTGGGGGTACTGGAGCTGCTGGTGCTGGTGTCACTGCACAGCCGCGCCTGTTCTTCGCTCCACCGTTGCCGTCGTCTCAGCCACCGCCTGACTCTGTGCTTCGCCAGGTTCTTAGTCTCCCTTCGTCTACTGGTCTTCCGTTACAGCCTGGCTCACCGCTGCCTGCTCCTTCTCCGTACACTGAGCAGCTAGGGAGTCTTACTAAGCGTCGTGAGCCTGCGTCGCGTCCTGTCTCGCCTGTCTGTTCTGGTCGTTCCGGTCGTCGTGTTCCTCGTCCGCGTCTGCCGGCTGTCCCCGACACCCACCTCGTAGTCCGTCGTCCTTCCTCTCCCCCGCAGCGTGTTCCTCTGCCGTCCCCTCCTGCGTCTTCTCTGCCTGTCGTTGCGGACCCCGAGTCTGACCGGTTTCGTGCTGAGCACCCTACTGTCACGCGTCTGCTAGCCACTGTTGTCACTGACCCGTCGTTTGAGTCTGCTGCTACGTCTGCCTTAGTTGCTGAGCTTGTGGACTTTGCTGCTGCCTGTCGTCTAGACTACGCTGCTAGTCTTGTTGCTGAGTCTGAGTCTGTCTGTCCTCCGTCCGTCGGGGGTGAGTGTGCTCTTGGCACGGACGTCCTTGAGGACAGGCAGGAGGACCTTGAGTGTCTTGCAGCCGCTGCGCCTCATCTCGTGTCCATGCTGCTTGCCCCTGAGGGAGACCCGGATGCTCCAGACATTCCGACCCCGCGCTCTTACGCTGAGGCGATCGCGGGTGAGTACTCCTCTCAGTGGCAGACAGCCATGGACGCAGAGATGGCATCCTGGAAGTCCACAGGCACCTACGTCGACGAGGTTCCCCCACCTGGGGCGAACATCGTCAGTGGCATGTGGATTTTCAGGGTGAAGCGGCCGCCGGGTTCTCCGCCTGCCTTCAAGGCGCGTTACGTTGCACGAGGTTTCAGTCAGCGAGAGGGAGTAGACTTCTTCCAGACCTTCTCCCCCACCCCGAAGATGACCACTCTTCGGGTGTTGCTGCATGTTGCCGCTCAGCGTGACTACGAGCTTCACTCTCTTGACTTCAGCACAGCCTTCCTACAGGGCAGCCTGCACGAGGAGATCTGGCTGCGCCGCCTACCTGGCTTCACTGGGTCGTTCCCTCCTGGTACCCAGTGGAGCCTCAGGCGGCCGATCTACGGTCTCCGCCAGGCGCCACGTGAGTGGCACGACACACTGAGGACGACACTTGCGGCTCTTGGGTTTGCTCCGTCGACTGCTGACCCGTCGCTGTTTCTGCGCACCGACACTTCGCTGCCGCCGTTCTACATCCTCGTGTACGTCGACGACTTGGTCTTTGCCACTGCTGACACTGAGGCTCTCGCCCTGGTGAAGTTGGAGCTGCAGAAGAGACACACGTGCACCGACCTGGGTGAGCTGACAAGCTATCTTGGCTTGCGGATCACCCGGGACAGAGCACGCCGCACCATCACACTGACTCAGTCACACATGGTGCAGCAGGTCCTTCAGCGCTTCGGCTTCACCTGGTCCTCGGCACAGCACACTCCTCTGGCTACAGGTCACTCGCTCTCAGCTCCACCTTTGGACGAGTCCGTAGAGCCGAGTGGTCCTTACCCAGAGCTAGTGGGCTGCCTCATGTACCTGATGACCTGCACTCGTCCTGACCTTGCGTACCCTCTTGGCCTTCTGGCTCGCTACGTGGCTCCTGGTCGGCACCGAAAGGTGCACATGGATGCTGCTAAGAGGGTACTACGCTACTTGTGCAGTACATCGGGCATGGGGCTCGTGCTTGGAGGGAGGAGCTCAGTTGTTCTCACTGGGCACTCAGACGCTTCTTGGGTTGACGACCAGACTACTCAGCGGTCGTCACAGGGTTACACCTTCAGCCTTGGCTCTGGTTCAGTTTCTTGGCGTTCTACACGTTCGTCTTCAGTTCTCAGCTCCAGTTGTGAGGCTGAGATCTACGCCACAGCCATGGCTGCACAGGAGTTACGCTGGCTCACCTACCTGCTGACCGACTTGGGAGAGCGGCCTCGTTCTCCTCCAGTGCTGTACGTCGACAACAAGGCAGCCATTGCCTTGTGTGAGGAGCACAGACTGGAGCACAGAACGAAGCACATCGCTCTGCGTTACTTCCTGGATCGAGAGTTGCAGCAGCGTGGTCAGCTTCGTGTGCGTTACGTGGCCACTCGGGCCAACACTGCTGATATATTCACCAAGGCACTACAGTCTGGTGATCATCAGCGTTTCTGCACTATGCTAGGGCTTGTGCCCACTTTTCCTCACTTGCTGTAGGCTTTGCTTGTACTGTGATCTATATATATATACCTGCATGGTTGCTTTGCTAGGTAGTGATCACTGTGCTGTTTGTGTTGCATATATGCCTCTGCATGTGAACTGGCCTTGTGGCACTTTGCTTGTGCTCAGAGTGTGTGGTGACGTTGTGATCCACCCTGAGCTTGCTTTGCCTTTCTTGACTGGTCTTGTGACCCCTTGCTCTCCCCCACTTTGCCTATGGGGGTGTGTCAAACATATATATGTTATATGTTGTAGTTATTGGTAGGCTGTAGTGGGGTAGATTCTGTGGGGTATAACCCCTTAGGTTTTTCCTACTTGTAAAACTCTCTCGATAGTTGAATCCACCCTTGCCTAAGTGTTGACACATTAAAACAAGCAAGGGAAACAAATGGTCACAAGAAGTAACAACACAAATCTCAGGGTGGATCACGATGTCACCATACAGTCTGAGAGCAAGCAAAGGGCCACAAGGCCAGTTCAAGAGTTCACAAATATATATAATTAGCAAGACAGACAGAGCAAGAAACAAGAGGCAAGACTACAACAACCGAGGGCCTGCCTCAACAAGGCCTAGCTGCAGACAGAACCTATGGTGGTCACAAGGCTGGAGGGCCTTCGTGACAGGGTCCTCGCTAGGATTTCAGGGGGCCTGATGCATCAGAAATTTTTGTTTTCTTTGTCTGACATATCAGATATTTAACCACAACTTGTCTGACCAATCACATGGCACGACTGGACAAGCTGTTTTCTGGCATGTGGATGCAAGCGATTCTGACTTGCTAGTCACTGTAGATTCGCCGTGACTCAGTAAATTCACCCTGTCACAGAAAATTCGCCCCAACACAGCAGAGTATTCGCCCCGTCAGAGCACAGCAGATTCGCCCAATAACAGGAAATTCGCTCTGACACAGCAGATTCACCATGTCGGAGCATGTTCTACCGGAAATCCCTTCAATGTAAGATGTTTCGGTTTCACATGAAACATGGAATACGTTTCTGATGAATTAGATAAAAAAAGAAAACCAATTATGATCAATCAGATAAACAGAAAATCCATTTCTTAAAAATCAGAGTAACTGGAAAAAACCAGTATGAAAAATCAGACAAACAAAAAAATATGTCTGATAGCGAGGACCCTGCTTGGTGAAGATGTCTGCAGTGTTAGCCGCTGAGGCCACAAAGTCCAAGCGCGCCTGGCCGCGTCGCTGCAGCTCTCATAGTAGAAAGTGCCTCACGTCGATATGCTTCACTCTGCCCTCCAGTCGAGGTTCTCGATATAGGAGGATCATGACCTTGTTGTCAGCAATCAAGGTCGGTGCAAAGCGAGGCCGCTCACCAAGGTCGGTGAGCAAGAAGGTCAACCAACGAAGCTCCTGCGCAGCAGAGACACCGGTGTAGATCTCTGCCTCAGCGCTAGACTGCGCCATAGATGACGACCGAGTAGAACTCCATGACACAGCTCCAGAGCCCAAGCTGAAGCAATACCCGTAAGTAGACCTGGAGAAAGAGTCGCAGTGACTGGCCAGTACATCTGGCTCTCTTCCTCCAAGCATAAGCCCCATGCCTGATGTAGTCGCCGGGAACTTCGCTACCCTCACAGCAGCCGCCCGGTGAACAGGACGGTGTCTCCCAGTCGCAACAAAGCGAGCGAGGAATCTGAGAGGAAAAGCGAGGTCCGGACGAGTACAGGTCATCAGATACATAAGGTGGCCCACAAACTCAGTGTAGGTACCACTAGACTCAAAGGGCTCCTCAGGAAGAGGAGCGGTGA